AAGTAATATTTTAATGCGGCACATGCAAAGTTGAATAAAGTATTAAAAAATACTGAAACAGTTTTTCAATACATAAATATCAGATTGATACACCGTCAATTTTTATGATAAAATTACAGTTTTTTTAATGTGCATAAAGTTTGGTTTTTCACAGTAAAATGACTGTATAAAAAGTACTGTAAAAATCTATTATTACATTTAGTTTTACAGTTCTGATGTACTTCTTTTACTGAGGGGTGAAAAGCAGTATATCTACTGTTGCCAACAATGTTTTTTTTATTTTAATGAGACGTTTAAACGAAACAATGCTGAGGAAATAACTTTATTTACATTTATTTAGAGTACAATACTATATTAAAAATACTGATCTAAAACTAAATATTAGGCAGTTGAAGTATAAATATATTACAGCTGGTATGTTCTACAGATAACAGTCAGAGTTAATGATAAGTATTTAATGATGACCTGAGAGCAGCAGCTTTGACACTTGAACGCATCATGTCTGTAAACAACAACAATGACGTCATAAACAATTAAACTGAGGTTCGACACTAAAGGGCAGAACCAGTCCACAGTTCTTCTGCCTTTTATTTCTTTGTGCTACACTGCTAAATGCTAAATAATAATAATAAAACCGAGCAGTTCGGGTTTGCAACAAGAACCAGACCCAGAATCGAGTCCAGTAGGAACGATAAGACCATGCAGAACACTGTCAACAAGCTTACCTTCTTTATCTCATGCAAACAGAACACTGGCTCGGTCCAGTCGCTGCACACCGACAGAAACAGCAGAACCAGTTTGGGTTCTGCTCGCCGGCCGGAAGTCCCGCCTTCCAACCCACCGTGCCGGTACCGGTACGTCTCTGCTGGTTTACTCACAGCCAGTAAAACAAAAACAGCCTTAGTGGTGTCTGTCCTCTGTTCGCTGCAGACCTCAGAACCGACAAAGTGCGCGAGCTTCAATGACGTAATGCGGACCTGAGAAAGGCGCGAGGGGCGCTGGGAGAAGGGGGCGGGAGACACAGGACTTGGTATCAAGTCAAGTCCTTTMTGCTCTGAAAAGAACTATAAATATCTTACCTGTTACAGATGTTACCTGATCGCTCTTTAAACGACCCTGATTTGTCCTTTTTAAAATGCAGACAYGAACACAGCAAGCYTTTTACCATCAATGCAGCACATATTTGTAATTCTGTGGTCATTTGTAAGTACAAATAGAGGCAGCAGCAGCTAGCTGTAGCAGCGTGGGGCACCTCCTGGATTGATGTAATKAGAAGACATAGCAATCAGGTTTCACTTCCTCGTGCAGCCTGACAAAACAACAAGATGCAAAATTATTGTTCGTGTAAAGTG